CGGCTGGAGAGGCAGGAGGAAGACCATGCCCAGCACGAACAGTGTCGACGCGATGCAGGGGTCAGATAACTTGAGAAAATTCCAATCAAGAAGGAAAAAACAGACTTGGAATCTACCCAGGCTGTCACATGCACAAAGGGCACTTTTCTCCTCACCTCCTCTGAAGTCCATGGTGCCTCCTAGATCAGCTCTCCCCAAATACAGACCGTCCAGAGCCTCTGTCCGTGGGGTGCTTCACCAGTGCTCAGGACTTTGGGGCAGTCACTCACCACGTTAGGGGTGCACACTTGCCCCAAGTATTGTTACAGCTTTTCAAAACAGTGTTCCCTTAGCCACAGATTGTCATTTTAGTTTGGGCTCTTGTTTTGGACGATGGGAACCAGTGTCCCTTCTGGTCCTTAGTGGAAATAGCTCTCTGTTAGAAAATCATGAACATGAAGTCCCATTTTTCTTTTCAATCTTAGGAAGCTTGTAGGTCACCTTTGATCAGCCTGGCCCTGACCTTGCTCCAGCAGTTCGTGGAGGATCTGGTTTCATTATTTGAACACACTGACAATGCTTAGATTTTAAATGAGCCTTGAAAACAAGATGCTCAAATGAATTTTTAATTCAAGCTGGAACCCAGGCACCAAATCTATGTACCTGGAGAGTGAAATATTTCAACCACGTAGCTAAGTTTGTGATATGTAACGATGACATTCTTACTTATGTCCATTAGAAGCTAAGCATCCCCAAATACTTCAAGTTGATGGCTTACCTGAGCTTAGAAGGATGAAGACAGTTGAGCCAAACCTCTACGGGTTCTGAAATTGCCTCTAGAGATGTACAGAAGCAATGTAGCTCATACTGTTTCTGTATGAAGTCCACCTACTCACAGATGGCTGTGGCAGTCATGGAGAGGGAGAGTTTTGCATAATAAGGAAGTTTCAGAAATAGTCAAGTGGCTCAAATCATTAGTGCTAGGGCTTTGAACTGGTTCAAGATTAGCCTTAATTATTAACCTTCTTTAATATTTCAGAATGTCTATAATAAAAGAAGCACGGTGCGTTTAATTTATAGTTAAACAGCCAGAGATTGTTAGACTTGAAATGCACTCAGATCACCTGGGTGCAGGAGGTTCGCAAGCTTTGATCTTTCCCAGTGTACCCTGGGGACTTGGTACGCATCCTGGAACAGCGCTCCTGAGGGCAGTGCTTCCTCCGGGTGCAGGATGGGAATGAGGGGCGAGGAGGGCTTGCCAGAGGGCAGTGCTTCCTCCGGGTGCAGGATGGGAATGAGGGGCGAGGAGGGCTTGCCAGTGTCGTGTTTAGCTTGAAAACTATTCCGCTTAAGAGATCTAAATTCTTAACAAAATTCATTCAGGACAAATTTTATTTTATTTGTTTATGTTTCTTAGGCATAAACAGGTGAGAGGACGACGGAGCTCACATTTATATCTTCACAAACAACTCCTTCCCTGATCGCCAAACATTGGATAGGCACCTCGTACTTTTATTCTCCCCACTCACTCGATATAATACTCCCCCAGTTCTTACCACCACAGGAGAGGATACCAGAGCTTACACTGGATCGTGCAGTGATGGAACATTTCATAACAGCAACATTTACAGGATCTCAACAAAACAAAAAAACAAAAACCAAAACACACGGAGAATTAGTCAGTGAACTCCTGGCTTAAAGGGAGAAGTTCACAAAACAATGTTAGTGGAGTGTGTTAGCTGCTGTTAGTCGAAAATAAAAGATTCCTAAGTTGAGAAGCCTGGACACAGCTGGGCAGGGAAACTCCTTCTTAACTCCAAACAAAACCAGTTAATGCTGAGAAATGCATGAGCAAGAAAGGATAATGAGAACTTGAACTTGTTGAAAGGACCACAGAAAGGGTTCGCATTGTATCCATTGCTTAAAATCTCTGAAAGTTTTATGATGACAACTAATAAATATTTTTGTTGGTCAAAATATGTCATGGACAAAAGGTCAAGAGGCCTGAGTACTTGAAGTTAAAGGATCTAGGGGAGGGGGAGAGGGAGAGAGAGAGAGAGAGAGAGAGAACATGGAAATGACCTCCATTCAAGGAGAGGAATGCACAGCCCAGTCTTGGTGGAAGGAGGGGAAGGGAGGGAGGTTTTTTTTTTTTAAAAGATCTCTTGGTAAGACAACAGTACATTGCTTAATAGATTTAAATAGGCTCATATTTTTAGGTTTTTGAGAGATTCTGCCAAAGGGAGCAAAGTAGTTTGTAACTGAGACTTAAAATGACCCTTGGACTGCGGCCTGAACTGCTGGAAGGGGAAGAATGAGAGTTCAGTCCTCGGAAAGGACCCTGGTTGCAGCCTCTTCAGAGGTGGCCGTGGAGAACAGCAGAAGCCAGGTCGTCCCTCAGGCACAGCCACAGCCCAGAACCTGATCGTGGAACATTTCTCCTTCCTGGCCCTGGGACTCCCACGAAATCTGCACCGGAGGATTTCAGAATCTCAGTGAACACTAGCGCTACAGGTCCCACACTGTTCCCTGCCCTGAGAACATGCGTTTTGGTTTCATTATCCTTGTGTGTGGGGAGGAAAGATTTTCTTTTGCCTGTGTGAGTGTCTGGAGTCAAAGCATGATACCTCCCAGACTCACGGACCTGCGGTCTGCCTGACTGGCCTGGGCAGAGGCCGCTTGCAGGGCCGTTCATCCTGTGGGGCTCTGGGGCATTGCTCAGGTGTGGTCTCTGTGTGATGCTGAACGAATGGATGGAGGGTGGAGTGAACCCATGGGCTGGGAAGCAAGAAGAGGGAGCGGCTCCAGGAGCCCTCATGGGGAGCGAGAGTGGGGTAGATAGGCAGTTGCAGTGCCAGAGTGCACAGAGGCTGGTCTGAGCAGAGCCTGGCTGGTTTGCATTGTCTGGAGGAGGCAGTGGAAGAGGACCCCCGATTTGGGCCCAAAAGTGGTCTGTGTGCCGCGGCACGTGACCCACAAGATGCGAGAGTGAGTCACGTAGGGCACGTGTCCCCTGAGTGTGAGTTACCTGGCACAAGGGTCACTGTTGGGCCCAAACCAGGGCTGTCACCATGCTCCCAAGCATCTGATAACTTTCAGAGCTTGACCGGAAACAGACTCCTCCAGAACACCCAGGCCCCTAGGCTCTCCTCTCCTTTTTGAGACTGGGAAACTTCTTTAAATTAGAACTTCTTTAAATTTATTGTCTACCACAGGGAATCTTGATCTCAGCCTGCTACCTCCAAGTATCAGAGGACGGGGTCACTGGACTGAGTTCTGGGTGGGGCTGTGCTGTGAGTCCCTGTGTCACAACCTGCAGAGACAGCTGTTTCCCACAGGCTGGAGTGTGCGGTGGGAGCCAGGGAGGGGGTGCGTGCACCAAGACCAGCTTCCCAGAGTAGCTCGAGGCACAGAGCTTGCAGAAGGGGCCAGGGGAAGGAGGGGAGGAACAGAGCAGGTGGGGAGGAGCAGAGGGCAGAGGAACTAAGGGAGTTCCCGTCGCAGAGCTGCACAGTGTGTGGGCACACGGTTCTGTGACCTTGTGTGCACACAGATATACACGTGTGTGCATCTACACCTATGTGCACACACGTGTGCAGGGGTGGGAGCACTTTCGGGGTGTGCACATATGGACCCACACATGCGCATGTGTGTATAGGCTTGTGTCGTCCACCATCTGTATTTGCATCACACCTGTTACTTCCGTGTGGACATACGTACATGCATGTGTTGTTTGCATGCATTTGTGTACTTGGTACCAGTGGGGCTTGTGTGTAGATGTGCCACTGTGTACCTGCATTACATGTGTGCATGTATGTGTGTGTCTCTCCACACCTGCCTGTGTGTGTGTGTGTGTGTGTGTGTGTGCGTGTGTGTGGAGGTAAGGTCGGCGGCTGTGGGAAGAAGAGGATCTGGCAAGAGGGGAGGCAGCAGAGGCAGGGCTTGCTCTGTTCCTTTAGCAGGCTTGCGGATGAAAACAACACTGGATGAAAACACGGGAGGAGTGGGGAACCACAGGAGACACCGTGCTGGGGAGCATGGAGTAGGCGCAGTGCAGGGGCTGCAGCAGGCCCTACTCTTCCGGAAGTCCCTCTCGCCCCACCCATCCACGAGCCTTCCCTGTGCCGCAGAGAGGAAGCGAGGCTCCAGCAGAGGCTGCCCTCCTCGCTGCTTCCCAGGCAGGGAGAGGGCAGTGCGAGGTCGGAAGTGAGGGGAAAGGCACCAGGGCACAAGCCAACAGGTTTTATTTGTGCTGGCAGAAACCCACTCAACTTGTCTTTAAGGAGCTCTGGTCTCTAAAACTGGGAGTCCGGGGCAGGATGGCTCAGGCATGGCCAGGCGTCACCTGGCTCTGACGGTGTCACCAGAGCAGCTCAGCACATGTTGGCGCAGGTGGCGTGGGCGCCCCACAGTCCCAGCCTCGAAGGGCTCTCTGCCTGTCAGTGGGGGTCCCTCGAGAGGTTCTGGCTGCCCACCCACCAGCAGCAGAGGACTCGGACTGTCCAGCCAGATCTGGGGTCTGCTTCGTAGGCAGAGGAGACAGCCGGGGAGGGACTTACGGGAGAAGGTGTCAGGTACATGGAGAGGACAGGGGGCTGGGACAGGGCCACAGCCACGGTCACTGCCTCAGAGAACGGGAGACGTGACTAGGGACAGGCCCGTGTGTGAAGGCCTGAGAAATGAGTATGAAAGAGAAAATGGAGACATCTCACCCGGCCATACACGCAGAGGTACACAAGACTGATTTGAGGAGGGGAGACAAAGAACCAGAGAGGACAAAGAAAATATGGACTTTTCTGAAGACGTCCAGAAGTGAATTCTGCATGTGAAAACGCACCGAACAACTCTGAGAAATGGCTCAGGTGCCCACAGTCCCAAAACCGCAGCGAACAGACACCCAGCTCCAGAAATGAGATTCCCTGCCCTTTTTGTCAAGGACTGAGTTTGCATCTTGAAAACCATTTCCTCAATCATTTGGTTTTCCCACAGTGGCATCAAGAGCTACCCTGCTCATACAGTACCTTGTAGGGGCCAATTTCCTTCCATCTCTTTAAAAGAATGCATTTCCACTTAGCTCCTGCTGCCTTCCGGGATTAATTAGTGACTGTATGAGTCACTCCAGGTTTAAGTGGCCAGCACTTCTTGACAGATGGCAGCTGTAAAAAAATGGGAAATGATCACTCTTGCATGGTAATTATGATTTCCTGGATGTGAGAAATTGATAAAATACCTTCAGGGCGGAAGGACCCTCCTAAGTTCTTGGGGCCCCTGAGCCCCGTGGCTGGGCAGCTGCCATCCATCCCGCACCTGAACTGTGGCTGGAAATGGCATTTCCTATTACACCGAAGGCAAGCAACAAAAAGTTGATTTATACGCGAGACTTCTGCTTCATAATTACGGTCTAGATCTAATTGAATACCCTGTAGCTTTTGATGCTGTATATGCTAATGATGGCCAAAATTGATTCTCGTCTATATTTCTTTATTAACTTATCTTAAAATAGCAGATTGTGAAAAACAGCCTCCTGTACCACTGGACTAGGCAACTTTATAATTTACAAATCAAGCTGTTTATTCTTTTCAATTTGTTTAGGTGATTTATTTTTTTAGGACAAATGGGCCTAAACTGTAGGAACTAACAGTCCCCACCCCCTGTTGGCTGGACAGTGCCAGGAATTTGCCGGGAACAAGTACTCCTGAAATGAGCCAGTCATGACCTTGTGTGGGGAGTTCGGCAACTGGTCATGTTAGTTTTGTTTTAGGGACCATACTGAATTAATTTAGTTATGGAATATCAGTGCTCTGCCTAGTAATTAGTGGCGATTTCTCTGTGTGCATGGGCAGTGCCAGGCAGGGCTGTGTGGCCACCCGAGCCACTGCCTAGCTCAAAGGTGGACACTGACCCCAGGTGGCCGCTCTAAGACAGGAGGCCAGCTGTACCCCGGAGCAGGAGATGGTTTGGGAGGTTTCTCCCATCCTCTTCCCATTCCAGCTCCTCTCCCCGAAAGACTCACACAGAAGGCAGGCAGAGGGAGGTCCAGATGGCCTCTTATTTCATGCCATATTATGTTGTTATTATTTTATTAATGATCTAGCTAGTAGTATTCAGCTGTGGAGAACAACTTTTGGTATCTGGCTCAGCAGACATCTGAACAGCAGCCTCCAATCACCTTCAGGCTCACGAGCCCAGCTTCTTCTCTAGGGGAGGAAGAGGGTGAGCCTGGCCGCAGTATCCCTCCGTCACCACCCGGACCCTCTGTCCCCACACCTCCCAGGCTTCACGGTGCATCCTTTATCTGAGGGGGCAGCGGGGCCCTTGTTTTGCCCTGTCATCCAAAGATTCCATCTGGCGGGAGTTTTCTGCTCCCCGAGAGTTCACGCGCTGGAACTGCTCCTCTGCCAGTCCTGCTCTCCTCCCTCTCTCCATTGGATTCCCCACCTGCCCCTTCCCTCTCCCCATTTCCTCTCTCCTCAGTAAGGACAGCTGATTCCTGAGTCAGCTTCTCAGCCTTTCCTGCCTCCTGGGGGTTTTCCCACCGTGTCCCGCCCTTTCTACACCCCGCCTCTTCAGATCAGGTTGTAAACCGGGGCACTGGGGACAGTCAGGAGTACCCGGGCACAAGCAGATGAGACTCCATTCAACCCTGGTGGCCTCTGGGAGCCTTGGGTATTGACTCACATGGAGTTCAGGTGCCTTAGTCTCCTGCCGCCCACCTGTGAGTAATAAGGTTGTTTGGCTTAACTTGCTGTGTGAGGGTTCCGTCTCGGTGGACCCTTGCAAGTAGAGAAAGTTGTAGCCCAAGAAGCAGTGGGCTGTGATCATATGCACGGTGACTCTGCCGGGCACTTTTCCCCAGGGATCCTGGCACAGGGTCCATTGACACCCTTGGCCACTGGCAGGAGCAGGAGCGACTGAGCTCGGAGCACGGCCTCCCGGAGACGCAAGCTCGGCCCAGGTCGGGCATTGCTGCTGATGTTGAGAAAGGACCTCACCATTTCAGTATATCCAAGAAAAGTAAAATGCAAGCCACAGATGTAACTTTATGTCTTCTCCTAGCCACATTAAAAAAAATAACCGGGTAAAACTGATTCTAAGGATATATTCTACTGAACCCAATATGACAAAATTATTTCAACTTAAAATATAAAAGATACTGAGAGCCAGGTACTGTTTAGTGGGAAGGCCCTAGGTTCAACCCAAGTACCGGATGTGTGCACACGCACACACCCACAACATATATTTTATATTCTTTATCACACTTTGTTAGTAGTTATTGCTGCTCTATGTCCCTTCCATGGGCTTTTTGTTGGCCCTGGAAGTGACTAATAGCCAAAGAAAAGAGGCAGAGGTAAGAGAGCAGAGAAGACAATTGCATTTTCATTAATACAGTGGCTACTTTTGTTTGAGTCTTTGCAGCCTGACCCTTTTGATCACTTTATTATCACCATCCACTTGATACCTGTGATGCTGACTTGTGGAGCTCATGCAGCAGTTAGAGCCCGTACAGCCGTTAGACAGTGGAGGAGAATCAGAATCTTGACCGCCTGGCTTCTGCTCTATGCCTCCCATCAATTAAAGCATTTGTTAAAGTCTGAACAGGTACTCACCTTTGTGTAAGCACCAAGCATTTTCGGGGCCTCCTTTCTGGCTGTGCTAACCTTACCCACTGTGAGGGGCAGCTCCCAGGCCAGCCCACCACCACCGAGTGCGACCAGCACCAGCGGAGGGAAGCTGGTCCAGGCTGGAGGATTCCAGACCCCCGAGCTTTTGAAGGTGTGGTGAGGCTCACCTGGGGGTTAGGGTGGTCCAGGGTGCGTAGAGGCAGGTGGGTCGATCTTGTTCCTAAAAGGCAGGTTCCCTAGCTCTGGCTGGGGAGTGCATGGTGCATGGGTGTCATCCATGGGACCTGCAGCGTCTGGCAACCCCCCTTGTTTCCTGCCCTCAGTATTAACTGGAGGTAAATTTTGGCTATACGGCGTCAAGCAAGACGCCAGGACCTGCCGGGCTGGACTGATGTTCATCTTATGAAAGTGGGGGCTCCAGGGGTCCCAGAAGCCCTGGGGCACTGTGAGGGGTGTTAGATCTCTGTCTCCACACCCAAGTGAGGCCAGCCCTAGGCTGGGTCCTCCTGGCCTGCAGTGAGAAAGCCCAGGTCCTCCCTGGTCACCTCCCCAGCCCTCGCTAGAATAAGGAGGAGGGAAGAGGAGAGAGGAGAATGAGAATGAATCTTTATTCCTTCTTTGAAGTGGCAATAACCTGAATGACACCGGGCCCGGCAAGGGCAGACATGGAGGCAAATGTTTCCGGTGCTCACTCATCCTGACATGCTTGGGTCAGACAGTTGATTCTGTGGATGCTGCCAGAATTCATCTTAGGGAGGCGGCACGGAGAAGACTCCAGCTGAACGGAGCGATCAGGGTATGTGCTCTCCGAGGGTCTTTCTGTGCATGCACGCACACGCGTGGGCATTCCAGTGTACACGGGCACACATGTCCACGTGTGGGAAGCCAGCCACTGCCCACTGGCTTTTTGAAAGATAACATTTGTTCCTTTTTAAGGACTGCACGTGTTAAACTTGTTTTTGACCCTGCACGGGAGAAACTCGGACAGCCAAAGATCTGTAGGAGTCAGGTGCTTCCTGTTAAAGATCTGACGTTATCTGTAGGAGTCAGGTGTTGTAACTCCATTTTGTTAAGTTCCTCCACCTATTTGGGAATCATGATTATTAGTTGCAAGTGTTGTTAATTTGTTTTTCTTGAGCCTGCTTTCTCAAGGTGTTGTAACTCCATTTTGTTAAGTTCCTCCACCTATTTGGGAATCATGATTATTAGTTGCAAGTGTTGTTAACTTGTTTTTCTTGAGCCTGATTTCTCTTGCCCGTGTGAACCCTGGTTCCCGTGGAGCGGGTGTTGAGGTTACTATGGTAATCCTAGCCCATAATAGTTTGGTCTTTTCCTTTAAAAGGCTGATGCCTGCCTGCAATGAACGTCGCCTTGATCGGAGTCTTGTCTTGGCGTCCTTCCTTTCTCTCTGCCCCATCTCCACCCCGCTGCTCTTTCAGGTTTGAGACACTGCTGGACAGTGCTCTGCGTCGCCGGCTCGCGACATCCACGTGCCTGCATTTGTGTGCATGTGTGGGACTTTCCGTACACGTCTGTGTGTGCGTGTGTGTGTGACTCCCTTGACTGACACGGCAGCCCTGGGACAGCCCTATCCCCAGCCCTCCCTAGGCCCAGGCAGCCCCTTGCATAGGAGCCGCAAGTGCGAAGCCCCCACAGGGCAGCGCACGTCCTGAGCCGGCCGCATCCCAGCTGGTCCCTCCCTCACCCTGCAGTGTAGGCGATGACCCATTTCCTTTCATTTTGCCTTTTGGATTCTCTTGTTTTCTTCTCCCTTTCCTCTATTGGTATGTGCCTGAGCTACATAAACAAGCACACGCATGTGCGGAACTGGTGCACCTATAGCATCTGGACGCTTTTACTTCCTCCATCCCGTCTCCCCATCTCCACCGGACCCGCTTTTGAAACGGAGGAACCAAGGCTCTGGAGAGGAGGAGCTCCTTCCGTCATATTCATGTTTGCGCTCAGGTGAGGCTGTGCGGAGCAGTGCTGGAGCCCTAAGAGGTGGAGAGACCGAGCTCCCTCAGTTCGAGACCCAGAAGCGGCTCCAGAGTGGTATCGTGTAAGAGGGGTCAGTGAGTTTAGGGACAGTGCCTTTGTGCCCTCCCCGTGCCTGGCGCTGTCCTGCCTGCCTGTAGCCCAGGCCATGTTAGTGGCTGCTAAGGAGTGGGGCAGTGGACACCCCGTGGCTCACAGCTGGCAGAGACAGCCCCTGCCCCCAGCCCTCCTGGGGCTGCCGGTGTAGGAGAGCATGAAGGCCTAATTTCATGGCTGATAAAGCTCCCTGTACGTGAGACTTCACAGACAAATGAGAGCTCCGCTCTTCTCTTTTTTACTATGCCATTTATTTTCTCCTTTCATTGATAGAGGCATTTGTTCCAACCTCCCTTGGTCCTGGCCCCTAGCAGCCATGCGAGAAGGACCAGGGCCTCTGTAATGAGCATCCAGACACCCCTGAAGCAGAGGAGATGCTGGGATCTCAGCCTCAGGGTGGCAGAGCTGGGTGGGGCCGATGGGCTTCTGGGAATGTGGGTGGGGGCCTTGGTGGGTTTGCCTGTATTGGTTGAGAGGTAAGTCCAGGGAGGGCTGAGATGACTCCCCTGTGTCGTCTCCGGCCTTCTGCAGCTGTAGCTTGTTTTCCAGCGAACTCTCCAGCCCTGCTCCATCAGCCTTGTTCCGGGAGGTTTCCGGGGTGCTCCTGCCCTCAGTCAGCTCTGCTTCCAGATCTGCGGCCCAGGCCAGCACCCCTGACCCTGCTGGCTGGGTCCCCGTCACCCACCCCCTCTCAGAGCAAGGAAACTGAGGCTGAGCAGGTCAGTTGTGGTGGGGATAAAGAGGCCCTTGGCCCATCTGATCTGAGCTCAGCTCACAGTCCTGGCTGTGCCACTTAGGTGAATGTTCATGGGCCACACTTCACCCGAATGCGAGAATGTCTGCACAGGGTGCTCTCCCCAGTGACACTGGAAGCGTCTTAGGAAGTTAGTGTTTGTCCCGCGACTTCCCCACCTATGGAACAGATAAGACAGGAACTACAGGCACATGCACACGCACAAGAAACCAGCCACAGATAAGCATGGGCACGGGCTACCTGCAGACACAAATGAGCACTCCGTGCGAGGCACACAGGGATAGCCCGAGTCATGCACGGGGCTACATGTGCGTGAAGCCTGCTTGCAGAGCACACGTGCTGACCTCTGTTTCGGCTTCCCCGCTGTTCAGGGAGCGAGGAAAGACCTGTTTCTTATGACTGCACACACGAGCAAGGTGTTCTGACTGCACCTCACAGAAGAGTAAACGGAGGCTGGGCGCTCTCCTAGCACTTGCCCCACGTATAAGCTGGTAAGAAGTGAAGCTGACCCCGGGGCTAAATTTAAGTCAAGACCAAAACACGTGGGCGATCACAGACCTGCTCTGCCAGTATTGTCTTCGCACTGGTGAGTACAGCACCCTCACGATCCAGTCACCTTCCAAAGCTGCACTTGGACCACCTGCGGTCTTTGGGGAATACCTTGACTCAACCATGACAACGAGCCAGTTACTCCAGGCTATAAGGAGGGGTACGGCCCTCAGGGGTTTGAGGACCCAGGAGGGCCGTGCACACAGCCCCCAGCTGGCAGTGTCCACATGCCCCTCCTGTGGCTGCATCGCAACCCCTCTATCAGAGCTGTGCTGTGGTAACAGACGGGCAGCTAAGATGCCGAGTGCTGTGGGCTCCCGCTGGGTGGAGGCAAATGCTTGTTTCTCTGAGGCTCGGGTGGGAGAACTGCTCTTGGCTTTTCTCCGTGACGTCACTGGAAACACAGAAGTTGCTGATTGGCCTCTGACTCTTTGGGGGAGCCTGGCCCCCTGGCCCAGTGGTCTCATCCTAGGAGAACTCACAGGTGTGGTTCAGGGCGGAGCTGCTGTGCCTGCTTCTGTGCATGGTGTCTGAGGCCAGCACAGCACACAGCTGTGTCCATGGCCCGCACACAGTAGGTGTCAGCACGAGCTTATCCAATTCCGTCAGTGCCTTCAGAGCGCACTGCGACAGCACTGAGGCTGGGTTATGGGCTCTGCCACCAGGGGAGGGCGCTGGGGATTAGGGCGTGCTGCAGGAAGTGCCTTGGCCTCAGGTCCTGTGGACACTCCAACTAAGGGTGCCCTGCCGGCAGATTCATTCCCTGCAGAGCTTCAGGAAAGTCCTCCCATCACCTCCAGCCTCAGCTTACTCATCTTTAAATGGACACACCAGGGCTGTTGGCAGTACCTTGTGTGGGGGACATCGGCAGGTCGCGAGGTCCCACACGTTTGTATACAAGAGCTATTGTCATTGAGAGGCACTCATCCGGGTCACCCAGCTCCCTGAGCACCAGGCAGCCCCTCTTGTTGCCCATATCCAGGCTTTCTGCACAAATCATCAGTTCACTTGGGGATTCTATTTCTCTTCTGGCAGAAAGGACAAAGCTGGTTTAAGCGCAGACAGCCTGTCAGCAGAGCAGTAGCAGGAAATGCAGATGGAAACAATTACAAATTAAAACCTGTCACTTGCCCAGAGGCCTCTGCTCCTCCCCAACGTTAGCGCCTACTCCTTTCCAGGGACACCCTTGCCTGCGCGCAGGAGCTGGAGGTGTTTGCCCTCTGGCCACAAGAGGGCGCTCCCTTCCTCTGCGGGACTGGCCTTGCCCTGCCTCAGTTGTGTGGAGACTAAGAATGTGCCCAGCAGAGCTCCTGCCTGGCCTGCTGGTAGGGCCGTGCTGAGGACTCCACTTAGCTGGACTGCGGTCAGGGACGGTAAAGCCCTGTCCTTGTCCTGGTGTTGGGGCAGCACTGGCTATCAGGAAAACAGAGGGAGTGTCTGCTGCATCCCACGAAGACCCAGGGACGGGGAGGACAGCAGCTGTGTCGGGCTTAGGGATGGTGGTTTTGGTGCAAGAGGGGTGCCCAGGGCAGCGGGGGGAGTGTGCTGGGTGACAGCGGCCTTCCTGGGCCTCACCTATCCAGGATCCCTCCAATGGCTGGCTTGGCCATCATGAGGCAGTAGAGAAGAGGGGTGTATGGCCTGTCATTATTT